AAAAAATTATATATTAATAGAATAAAGAAGCTCTGTATCTAACTCTACTCTAATAATATATGTATCTATATCAAAAACCTATATAAGAAAAAAACATTTTAAACTAAACTAGAAAAACTAGACAGAGTAGTTAAAGAAAAGAAACTGTAGTTTCGAAGTATCGTTTGCGGTCTACGGAAGTCGAGGCATGTAACCATCATGTGTCTCAGATACACCATTTCCGTATATAGTCTCCTACTCATTCTACTCCAATATACCTGACCGCAGTCTACTAGTTTATTAGTAACTAGTTTGCCCCAAGCTACCTTAAATAAACAATACGTTATAGACATCCGCTTTGGGAAATAAACAATACTGACTGTTTTGATGATTTTACATGTCAATCTTTTGAAGAGAGTAAACTAAGACACCCACTTTTTGACATTTTTCCTCGAAAAAAGTGGTGGGTCAACAAAACTTTTTGTGGTTATTCCTTGTAAGTTTTACAGTTGTATAGAGACTATCTCTAGTTTTTCTAATATACTTAGTGTTGACCTAGTCATTCTGTGTTCCCAAAATATCCTTCTGATTTGGATATCGAATATAATAGAGGAGTCTACTAACAAGAAAGCTTGATCTCTACAAAAACCGTCCAAAGTAGTCCTCGGTTTTACACTCTTGGTACTTTGTCGACAATACACCTATTTGCGTAAAACCAAGTATATTATCACCCTTTGATGTCTTCTATAATGCTGACTATAGTTCAGATTTTTTAGACTTGTTGACCAGAGGATCGTCAAAAAGAGTTGGCTAGTAATTTTTTGAAAATAAATTTTTTTTAACATACACTTGTATATTTGATTACCTTAGTATATTGAATGAAGATTGATATCTGGTTTTATATAATTGTTTCTGAGTCAGAAACAATTACAATCAATGTGCTAAGGTAATCAAGTATACAAGTATACGAGTGTATACCAAAAAATTTTTTATTTGCTATTTTCAACCATTTCGAAAATAGTAATAAATATAGTATAGCTTACTCTTAATAAAATCTTTAAAATATTAAATAAATTACTTTATATTATAATAGAAAATTTTAAATTAATTTTTTAACAGTAATTATAAAATACATCTATGGTGTTGAACATCATATATATTGTTTTGATTTATAGATCTGTGTAACAAAAATAAAAAAACAAATTTTTATAAAAACAAAAGTAAAATTTAATTACTTTAGGGTTAGATTAAGGTCTGGGATTTTATTTAGACATTAGTATATGCAAATTTTTGCAAGGAATTTTTTTATTAGAGCCCCAAAGGCAATTTTATAAGTAAAATTTTGAGATATTTACATTTTTTAAAAAATAAACAAAAAAACAAAATTTTACATTACACCTGATTTTAAATTTTGATTGACTATTATAATAAATTTGTATAACATAATGTTCAATACCTATGATGCATTTTAGTAAAGCCGTTTTTAATATTAATTAAAATATTAATTATAATATAAATATAATAAAATATACTCTTGTCAGAATATATTTGTCTGGAACCTCTTTGATAAGAGCACTATATGATTCTATAATCTAATAAAAGTAACAAGCTAAAGAGGCTATTCTTGATCACAAAAAAAAATAAATATAATAAAATAACTATATAAAATGACTAATTTTAATATATTTTTTAAAAAGAATAAGCTATATTACATTTAATTTCTCAAATTTAATATTTATACTTCTTGCAGATTTAATTGTTTTTAAACTTTGAGTAAAGATTTCTCAGTAATTATTAAGTCAAATTTGATAGATTTTTTTCTTTGAATTCTATAGATTTATAGAATTCAAATAAAAAATGTTTAATAAATTTGATTTAGTAATTGCTGAGATATCTTTACTTAAAGTTTGAAAAAAATTAAAATATCTTATTAATACAAAACTATGTAAAATTTTCTTTAAACTTTAAATAAAGATATTTTAGCAATTACCAAGCAAAATTTATAAACTTTGTTTGTTTAAATTCTATAAATTAATAAAATTTAAATAAAAAAAGTTTATTGAAATTAACTTGATAGTTGTTTAGATATCTTCAATCAAAGTTTTAAAAAAATTTAAAACATCTATTAAAACAGAAGCTGTGTTATAATTTTTTCAAACTTTGAGTAAAAATATCTCAACAAATACTGTACCAAGCCATATTGATAAATATTTTTTGTTTAAATTTTATGAATTCATAAAATTTAAATAAAAAAAGTTATCAAATTTGACTTAGTGATTGTTAAGATATTTTTGCTTAAAAGTTTGAAAAAAATTATAACACAGTTTTTGTTTTAATAAACATTTTAAATTTTTTTTAAAACTTTAAATGAAGATAACTCAGTAAACATCAGGAAATTTTAAAATTAGATTATAATCAATTAAAATTTAAAAATTTTAAACGATTTTTATTACCAATGTTGATTAAAATCAATTGAATTTTTATCAATTATAATTGATATAAACTGTTGCTATTGATTATAATCTTTTAAATTATATTGATTTTTATCATTAATGATTATTATCAATTTTGATATAAATCAATTATCAACACCACTGTCAGTTATAATTGCTTAAAGCCAATTGATTATAATTGATTAACTATTTGCAACTAATTAAAATCGAGCTTTAAAATTTCCTGATGAATACTGGGCCAAATTCAATAAACTTTTTTTATTTAAATTCTATAAATCTATAAAATTCAAAAAAAAAAATCTATCAAATTTAACTTGATAATTACTGAGATATCTTTAAAGTTTAAAAAAAAGTTAAATCTGTAAAGGAGTATAAACATTAAATTTAAGAAGTGTGAAAATTGGGACCCTAAATTATTTATTAATAAAAAACCAACTTTTTAACAAATTTACAAGATATAAAAAATTAAACTAAAACTTTAATTTATGGTTAATAAATCCAAGTTTCAACATTAAACCCGGATCTACTAAAGATTTATATCTATTTAAATTTAAACAGCAATAAAAATTTGTTTAAATCTAATGTAATAAAGTAACTTTAAGCAAAATCATATTTGTTACCTTTACTTCACAGTATAATTTCGTACAGCTCAATAAACTGTAATATATTTTTTCTTCTAAATAAAGCAAGGCAGAAGGCTCGCTTAAAACTTATAATAATTTAGCAAAGTTTTGTTAGTTTGGCCTTTGGAAATAACGTTCTCAGTTATCTTTTTTCCATTTTACCGATTGCTTGTTTAATAATACACCTAGTAATCTTTGTTTCTAAGTAAGTTTTTTATTTTTTAGATTATTTTATTATTTTGCATAGTTAAAGGCAACGCTCTTCCGAGACTCTGAGACTAATTATGAAAAAAAAATTTATTTTTCATAGACAAAATGGTGAAATGTTGCAGCTTAAAAAAGTACTTTAAACTGTATAAATTAGTTACCCGGGCAATTGATTTACATCAGCCAATCAGAAGAAAGTCCTCCTATGAGGTTAATTTGGTGTCGCTCATCACATGACCATGAAAAATCATTATAGATCAATTTCTGCGCCTTGTGAAGTTTCAGAAATTGAGATCTCAATATTTACTTGCGACACTATTTACTACAATGATATTTTTTAATTTAATAATGTCTAATTTTTCGAAATTTCATGTGGAAAATATTCAATCCACCCTTTCAGCAAAACGCAGCATTTCTTCATCTCTGAGACCCAAACTCGCGTTAACATATTTAGCCTTGCAAGAACAGACAAGCAAGCCAATGCAAACGACATGAATTCGGTTTGACAAAGAAGGGAGCGAAGATTACTTTCAGAGATTTACAAATATACAAAGTTAAGAACTGTTTAATAATAACATTCTAATGGAATACGTTGAAATTGATATTACGTGTATGCGTCTAGATAACATTTCAAAGCCTGAATAAAATGCAAATGATAAATTTGTAAGTTTTGTAAACAAAACAAAAGGATAATACAAAGAATAAGGCGTGTAAGACGTATACCTTATTCAACAAAATCGTAGCACAGTTGGCTCTATTTAAAACATATAGAGATATTTCTCGCGACGGGACATACTCCCATTTTTTTTGATAAATTTGATTCCTTTGAAATTTTATAATAAATTTTGAAATTTAGATTTTTAAAGATTAACTATACAATGATTTTCAACAATCTTACTTATTATTCCCATAGAACAAGCAAATAAATTCAGACATTAGTTCACCGATTCGCATTTCTTTGAATCTGAGGATCATCCTTCTGACCTATAAAAAATTAGCATATGTCAATACTAAGTTGATCGTTAAAGTTATAATACAAAATATGAGATTTGTTACCTCTTCAATTTTACGAAAATATTCTGTACGCTTATGTTGATTCTTATTTTTGTAATACAATCTTTCTAAAACATTCATTTCAACCCAAATGTCATTTTTTTGAAAATAAAGAACATATGAAGAAAGTTGATTGAAATAGGTAAAATGTAGTTGATGTGGAACAGAAGATAAAAAAAGTTCCGCTTGTGGATAATAAATGGGAGATGGCTTCGTGACGTAACGAGGTATGTAAACTGGATTCTGGTGTACCGACTGAAGCTCTATCATTTTAAATATTTCAAATATATCATCGCAGTATGATCAGCACAATTATATAATCTCATCTGTCGGTTCAGAAAATTTTGAATAAAATTCGGTTGACATTATTAATATATGTAATACTAATACACCTTAAGTACTAATTATTTCGTCAATATTTAACAAAAGAAAAATAATTTATTCTAAAGTATTTTTGATGTGTCAGTGAAATTAAATTTAAGCGTCGAAAACTATTTCCAATTAAAATGACATGTCGTGATGAGTATTCAATCGTTTAGGTTCAGCTAATAAAAAAAAGTTTGTTTTAATTAGATCATTAACTAATATTGAGATCAGACTAATTTATATACTTACTAGAATACCAAACAGGTATAGCAATTTCAGCACCGGTGGTTTTTATTACTACTTTTCTTCGTGTCCATCTACGAGGGCGAGTACTTTTAGATTTTTCTGTATCATTACCTGATAAGGTTGACGAATCTTGTAATAAAGTTTGTTGCGTTGATTGTTGAGATGTAGGAGATGATGTCAAAGCTATTTTTATTTATTTGTTAATTTAATGTTTAAAATTTAATGTTTAAAAAATTACTTGAAAACCGTAATACCTTCTTGCCCAGTAGTGATAAAACTTTCAGCCTGCTGCTCACTGTATGCAAAACTTGGATAATGTTAAAAAATCGATCAGAGAGTAAAATAATAAGGTATGTGAAACTGTCATACTCTGAAGTGAGTTCTGAATGTACAGACTCAACGTCTTTTTCTTTTCCTTTATTTGAAGTCCCGATGCCTTTTGGATTGAAAGAAATTATCTTCAATGTTTCACCCGTACGAGATGATTTAGATGGTTTTTCATTTGGAGGTTCTTCTGATTCTGAGAATTTTCGTGGACGTCCTCGACGCTCAACCTTACTAGAATTTGTAGGACTAGGTGCTGTAGTCTCCTCCGACTTAACCTCTGGCGCCGAAACTGGTACGGTCGGATTCGAATTGCGTTTTCGTTTAATTACCATATTAATTAGAATAAGGCAAGCTAGAAGGCATAAAAGTAATTGTATTAAGTTGGGAAGACGAAAAAATTTGGATATTGCGCTAATTGAGATATTGTGAAACACTGAGTGATTGAACGGAATTTTTATTTAGATTGTACTGTAGTAAAATTTTTTTAAAACAATGGGAAGTTTTCGTGGCCATCACGAACATTTCCGCTAACTTAACATGGTAAATTACCAGTAATTTACTACGGTAACTTACCACGGTAAGTTTACCACTGATAATTATACATGGGTGTCTAAATTATTCCTCTTAATAAAAAATTATTTCGACATTTAGTCTGTCGAAATTAATTTTATTAGTGTCGAAATTAATTTTATTAGTGGCGAAATTAATTTTCGTAGTTGTCGAAATTTTTAATGAAATTATTTAAATTCTTTATGCCAAAATACATTAGATCGTATAGCTACTTTATGGAATTCATATAAAAAACTAGCAATATCGATTTTTAACAGCTGCCCTACCTTGTTTAGTGCGTCGAGAGTGCATCAAGAGTGCGTCGAGTGTAACCCAGGTTCGCATAAGGAGAGCTTCTCCCTGCATTACGAATACAAAGTAAAAATTCCAATTATATTATATAATTGGAATTTTTACTTTGTATTCGTAATGCAGGGAGAGGCTCTCCTTATGCGAACCTGGGTTACACTCGACGCACTCTTGATGCACTCTCGACGCACTAAACAAGGTAGGGCAGCTGTTAAAAATCGAAAAAAATCTCTGCTGTTTGTCGAAATTACCTTTTTTAAAAAATAATTTAGACACCCATGTATACTGATAATCCTGGTTTAAGAATTAAAAAAAAACTTGTAATCCAGTGCAATGCATTTAAACCAGCAATTGTATTATAAAAATAGTTAAAAGTCTAAAAAATCAAAAATAAGAGTTATATAACTATATACCCCTTATTGTTTTTTTTTTTTGATGTTAAAAGGTATTCGATTATATTAACTTTTACAGTATATACTGTATACATATTTGGAGAGTACAACTAGTCATACATACAACTTTTGGTTGCCTATTTAAGTAGTCTGCATATCGGTATTACACTGTAGCAGTAATGGCACATGACCTCTTATGACCACTATGACCTTTATGACCAGTCATAGGTCATAAGGTTATAAAATATATGATATGACTTATGACCTTGGTCATAGGAGGAAGATCGTCTGATTGGCTAATTTTTACAGATCTGCCTGTAATTATCTGTGACAATTAGCCAATCAAATTACATAATTTTAAAAAAATTCATCGCTTTAATAATATTAGAAACTTCATACGAAGAAGTTATAAATTAAACAAATATACAAAAGAATTAATTTATTTCAATATACAGAGAATATATAAATATATATAA